AGCCAGCCACAAAACGGCTGCTGCGGAAGGCAGAGCCAGCCACAAAACGGCTGCTGCGGAAGGCAGAGCCAGCCACAAAACGGCTGCTGCGGAAGGCAGAGCCAGCCACAAAACGGCTGCTGCGGAAGGCAGAGCCAGCCACAAAACGGCTGCTGCGGAAGGCAGAGCCAGCCACAAAACGGCTGCTGCGGAAGGCAGAGCCAGCCACAAAACGGCTGCTGCGGAAGGCAGAGCCAGCCACAAAATGGCTGCTGTAGCTCACCTTCTCTCACTCACCCAACCGTCACTCACTCAGCTTACCTTCACTCACTCACTCAACCTTCACTCACACAACCTTGTGCTGTGGTGGCAGCTGCTCCCAAAGCAGTGTTTTTAAAAATCCGCACAGCCAATCAAACGTCCAGTGGCCGGGCAAAAGCCCAACCTGGCCCACCCTGCCCACCTTCTAAAAACACTTGGTGGGCACCAGGGAAAGTGTTGATGGACGCCATGGCACCCACGGGCAGCATGTGGAGTAAATGATGGTGTAAATGATGGCCCAGTTTCTTACAGGTTGTAGTGGGGAAGCCATATTTACATATCTGATTTATTATTAGCCGCTGGGAAAGTACACAAAATGGCACACAAGATAAACGCAATCAATAAAGAAGTGAGCCAGTGACTCACAAAAGCTCATCGCCAGTGTTCCCTCTAAGCTGAGTTAGTGTGAGCTAGCTCACAGTTTTTTAGCCTCTGGCTCACACATTTTTGTCTTAGCTCAGGAAGGCTGGCTCCAGAGCAAACTAATTCATGCAGTAGTCAAATTACCTGCTCACAACTTTAATGCCAGCAGCTCACAAAGTAGCGTTTTTGCTCACAAGACTCCATAGCTTAGAGGGAACATTGCTCATCGCCTGCCACAAAATGTGTTAGCCTTTAAGGTGCTACTGGTTTCTTGCTCTTTTTTTTTACAATTAATGACTAAAGCATCACAGCGGTTAAGTATCTAGCAGTGCTATCCTATCCTATGCAGAGTTTTGTTGAATCCACTAAAGTCAGTGAAGGGTTATAACTCTGCTTGGCGTTTCATTGTAAGATTGTTAAAGTGTGGCACTTCAGAAAACAGCCACTAATATGAGGTTCTTTGTAAGGATGAATAGAGTGTTGAGCCATGTTGAGGATAGGTGTGCTGATGCCAATGCCTAGATGTGGTTGTTCTTTCAGTATTCACAGGATTACTTTGTATATACTGTTGTATGTCCCACAGATGTGTCTCTGTTTCTGCTCTTTTGACCAATAAGGCAGCGGAACTCTTTTTGAGGACTAAAGGCAGGGCCTAGCCAAAGTCTGTCGTTCCACTGGGAGTCATTGAAATCAAGGGGGTTTAAATGTCATTATCTTTGGCTGAATGTTGCCTTTAACTTCTGTACTGCAAGACGTTCCGTGTTGTTTTGTCTCCTATTCTGACCGATCATCCATTTCTTCTCTCTTTTTTAAATGGGTCCTCCTTTTATGTGTTTTGGCATGCGTTTGGTTTTGGCTCCTGTATCTTAACGTTTTTCTTTGTTTCTATATCCTGTTCTATCGCCTGGGCTCAAAGCAGCTTGCACCGATTTTTCTAAATGAATTCCTGTCTTTGAAGGGCTAACAGTTCTAATAGTCTGTGGGGTCAGAGTATACGGGGCTGGATGGGAACCACATGTAATGGTGAAGGTGTTTGGAGGGGATGTTGATGGGTCTTCACTCCCAGGTCTGGAGATGTGCCTCCTCTCTAGCAGCAGCAGCAGCAGCAGCAGCAGCACAAACTCTCACGGCATCCCTCCGGAGGAGAAGCTGTAGAGGGGGATGGGGCGGGTGGGGACCAGAGCTGAACCGTGGGCGTGGTGCTGGTGGCATCTCTGGAGCTCTTTAGATCAGATCAACTTTTCTTACAGTTTTGCATTTTTCTCCAGTGCCCACCCCCAGTGTGAAGGATGCCCTTAAGACTGATCCGGAAACTCCAACTGGTCCAGAATGCGACGGCGTCGGTCCTGTTGGGAACACCACAGACCGCACATATTCAGCCTGTGCTGCACCAGCTGCACTGGCTCTTAGTAGAGTACCGGATCATGCAGGGCTTTCTTTGTAGAAAAAGCCCAGCAGGAACTCATTAGCATAATAGGCCACACACCCCTGACAGTGCAGCTCATTGGCTTATTAGGCCACACCCCATGCCTTCTCTTGGCTTGCCCAAGCTGGGGAAGGCACGGGGAGGCATTTAAATGTCTCTCCGATCCTTCGAGGGCCCCCCCCCCCGGTCTGCCTGCCTCAGAGTCGCCGGAGTGGTGGTGGTGTCGCTCTCCAGGCCTTCCCTCTGTAGCCACGCACGCAGAGGTTTTGGCTGTAGTGGGCGTGGCCAACTCAGAAGCTAGCTGGAACTCTGTTCCTGTGCGTTCCTGCCCCAAAATAGCCCTGGGGTCATGTTCAAGGTTTTGGTACTGACCTTTAAGGCCATGAGCGGTCTGGGACCCACGTATCTGTGGGACCGCCTCCTCTTGTGTATCCCCCAAAGAGCTTTACACTCTGCTGAGCACAGTTTGCTGGTGATCCCTATCTCTAAAGATGTCTGCATGTCCTCAACCAGAGCCAGGGCTTTTTCAGCCCTGGCTCTCTGCCAAGTAACACCTGCGTGCCCTGTGGGACCTTATACAGTCCTGCAGGGCATGTAAGGCAGAGATGTTCTGCCGGGCCTTTGTTTGAGGACAGCAATGGGTACCATCTCACCTGGTACTCCCTCCCCCTTCCCCACTCTGGTTTCCTGCTTATTGAGATGCTGTAATGCATATTGTAAATGGGGGCCATGGTGACTCAGAGGTTAAGACGCTGAGCTGCAGACCGGAAGGTCTGTAGTTCGGCAGTTCAAGACCCAAGTGCCGCGTGACGGAGTGAGCTCCCGTCTCCGGCCCCAGCTCCTGCCAACCTAGCAGTTCGAAAGCAAGAAATTGCAGGTAGACAAATAGGTACCACTTCAGTGGGAAGTTAACAGTGTTCCGTGCGCCTCAGCATTTAGTCATGCCGGCCACATGACCACGGAAACGTCTTCAGACAGTGCTGGCTCTTCAGCTTGGAAACGGAGATGAGCACTGTCCCCTAGAGTCAGATTCGACTGGCTTTCAAGCAAGGGAAACCTTTACCTGTACTAATGCATATTGTATGTTTACAGTATTTTGGCACCATTGTGATGTTATTTTAACTCCTGGATTTTAAATTGTATAGTTTTGTTGGTAACTGCCCTGAGCTCTGTGAATTCAGAGCAGGTCGGTATATAAATCCAAATGATAAAATAAATTTAAAAATACAGCAACAAGGTCCTGAACAGCTGAATCCCATATGCTTCAAACAGTCATCTCCCTTATTCTCTAGGTGGCTCATAGGATCAGTTGAGAATGCCACTTTGACAATACAATCTTTGCACCAGGCTTGATCAGCAAGAACATGCGTTGACATTCTCACTGACTGCTCTTGAGCGACCAAACTCCCTTCCTCTGGAATATCTGAAACAACCTCATGTTTAGCCCATCTCAGTAGTGTCTACTCTGGCAGCAGCTTTCCAAGGTCTTGAGCAAAAGCATTTCCTAGCCCCGCAGTCTGATCTCCTTTGAACCAGAGATGCAGACATTGGACTTAGAACCTTTGGCACACACAAGGTGGGTTCCCTACTTAGTTGCGCTGTGACCTCTGTCTGTAGTTGTAGCTGACCAGCCCAACTGGAATCCTCAATGTTGGGAGAAGAAGAAGAAAAAATCATAGATGGATGTTTTGTAAATGGATCCATATTGATAAATTCTTTGCTCCTTTCTTAGGATAAGCAAATTTACACTTCAGGCATCTAAAAGACATTTTGCATTTAGAAACAAAAGTGTGGAGGAAAGGGTATTTTAAAAGATCGACTTTACTCGCCTGTTCATTTGCATTTGGCAAGTTTGTATACATTCTGGTCCAAATCAAATAGTGTTCCTCTTTGCCGCAGTCCTTCTTTTGTGACTTGTAGCTGGATGTTTCATTCATTCTCAGTTCAGTGAGGCTTGCTTCCTAGTATGTTAACCTTAAGATGTCTTCTAATTGAATGCCTGGAAATAATAATTATAACATTTGGAAAAGAAAAAGCAGGATGGCCTGATTTTGTTTTTAAGGCATTCCCACTACATTTTCCCTCCCTCCGAGCATCTAGGAATCAGTTTTGACTTGCATCCTTATCAGTACAGTTTCTTCTATAGCCTTTGGACCCACAAAGGTGCTGTGTGTTTGTCCAGCGACCAAAGCTTTCATGTGCCACAACTGTAATCTCTGATCAATAGCATATATGCGTGTCTCCCCCCCCCTTTTTTTTTTTGCTATCTGAAAGTAGGGGTAAAGACTGAGGTTCCAGCTAGCAGATGACTTTATAGATCACAGATGTTTAGGAAAGGTTCAGATTGGGTTCAGCAACCGAGCCATTAAACAGGACGCTTAGGACAGTGCCGCGTTGTGCAGCCAGACAGAAAGCATGGTGTGTCGAAGAAAAGCCAAGGGCAGTATATTTGTCAGATGTTCTTATTCATTATTTTAAATAGTTTTCTGGACATCAAAAGCGAGAGTGTCCTGTAATGTGTCTCTGGACTTGGCTCGTTTGTTAATGGAAAAATAAAATGTTTTTAGAGTTCTATTTAAATTTCAGCCTAACTCTTGGCAAGCTGTTGTGCTCCCCTCATATATCATGAGTTGCATATGCCAGGGCCTTCTATTAGCATCCCCTGGAGTAAGACAAAATATTCTTTGTAGGAAGCAGTTTGCTGATTATTGGTTGACGGGGCCTACTAAGAACTATTCTTTAAAAAAATTCTTCAAAGTACACAGTGCAAAACATTTCTTACCCTGTTTGTCTGTATAGTTTCTTTTCTCACTATCTTTTTCGAGTCAGGAGTTTCTGTGTGTCGCTGGTTTTAATTTAATTTAGCCAAACAACTAATTGAAAGTGTTTTTGGTGTTTATCCTTGTTATAGGTTTGAATATTGATGGCCGTAGCTTAAAGGAACAGAAAAGCAATGCAACCAGTTCAGAAGCTAGTTTTTCATCTCGAGAAAAAAGAAGCCCTTTGTCAAGGTAAAGTCATTAAAGCACTGAATAGTTTGAACTCGGTGGAGAAAAAAAAATGCCTCTAGAAAATGAATGGCACTCTGGCGACAATATTTTGATCCAAGGGCTAAAGGGTTGAGATTTGTGTTTCTCTAAAACAACAACTTAAAATTTCGTACACCTCAGAAAATATTTGCACTAAAGCCAAGGTATTGTTTTGCAGCTGTTGTCGACTCAATTGACATCTCAGTGAACCACAAATTAGCGTGTACAGCTGCTCTCAGTAGGACTACTTAGAGACCAGACAATGGAAGTTGTCAGGAAAAGGGCAGACGTAAAACATAAAGTCTTGAAGAAATAAAGTGGTGTGTCGTCTTCTGGATGTAGTTGAGATGTAAATGAGCTTCAAGCTCAATACCTATTTTTGTGCCCTCTAAAGAAGTATTTGATACTAGATTATTTGTTACTTTCTCCTTTGTATTTCGAATTGAGAGCATTTAATTAATGTCCTTGCTTTTTCCTAAAAGGGTGCAATTTATCTCTGTTGGGGGGGGGGGGTAGACTACATGGAATCCTTTTTAGTTCTTTGAGTAATGTTTTTTGTTACATTTTTTTCCTGTTAGCAGGAATCAAATTACTATTAATGAAGCGATAGCAGAAAATGAAACGCAGTAAACAATCATGGCATTTTAAATTGGCTTTAGATGGCTACATAATAATTGCCAAAGCACTTCCTTGGCTTGGTTCTGATTATGTGGTGGATACTTGGAACTCATATTTATGAAGCTTGATTTGTGTGTGGTGGGGATGGTGGTTATATAGTTAGCATTATTCACAAGGATGTTATATTGTATCTTTTAATGTTCTTAGAACTTCCAATGGTGACATGCCGATTTCCTGAACAAACGAGCAAGAAATAAAATTTGTGAATAGTCATGTATTTTATAATTGATGTGGGGAAAGTTTGATTGGAAAGTAAAGTGTATCTGTTAAAATCCCATTTTATTAAGATGATGAACTATATCTGGTGCCTTGAAATTAAAAATAGCCTTTAGCTATTATTTGTAACCATTTGCCTGGATTTGACCTTCATTTGCGTTAATGGAAGAATTGACCCTTGATAATCCCAAAACCACAGTTCTTATATTTTATACAGAAAGCACAGGCATATATGTAAACACTGCAGCTATTTTTTAAAAAGGAATGTTCTGGAAGGTAGCGGTCTGCATTATAATATGAACTGGCAATTTCTAGTATTTCTGGAAATGCAGCTTATATCATTCAAATTCTGTAGCACTGTGATTATTTTTGAAATCCCATATGCGTGGCAGATAGATTTTTTTTGGGAAGTATTTGCTGCAGCAGATGATTTTGTGCCCTCAGGCTATTGGGAACAAATACTTCTCATAGTGTAGTATGAATTTTTCTTAAACGAATAGTGTGCATTATAGCTTCTGAATAACTTGGGAACAAAATACCTTTTTTAAACAAAATTGTTAAATAGCACTTGCTGCTTTACACTTGACATCTGTCTTAGAAAGCACAGTGTAAGAATAAAGTGTAAAAGGATGGGAAATGGCGCAGGTGCTTATTTGCAATTGGGACATGGTAAAATTTCTTACAAGCTGATGTCTAAGGATTCCACTTATTGCAGTCACTTCTTGCGCTTTATTGCTTTTACAAGTGGTCTTGAAACCCAGTACTTGAAAATAAACATAACAGTCTAGTACCACCGTGGTACTTTTAATTCCTCCCCCTTTGCAATATTTAGTCACTGAGCTCATGAGTGACCTCGAAAAATACCATGATGGACCTAAATAAAAAAAAATGGCTTCCTCTGATGTCCTACAGACAATAATTATGATGTGCTAGTTAAGTCCAAACTACAGCTGAGGGATTTTACTTTAAAGCAGGGGCTTGGGCGCAAAAATGCATTTATAGCTCTTTGTCTGGCACCTCATTATGCGTGGGCCTGATTCATTAAGTAATTGGTTTGCAGTTGTTTACATGAGTATTAAGGCTTTCTATTCAGCAGTCTTTGAGAGATACATTGTGCAAATGTTGCATGTTATGAATGCAGAATGAGGGGCAGCGGACGAGTCCTATTGGCTGAACACTGCGCTCTGTTGAAAAGCAAGAGAAAAGAGATTGGGTGCTGCTTTGCATAGCAATGACTTTCTTAATAAGCTTTACAGATTAATACACACAAGCTATAAAAGATGCAAAGAGATACTCTTAGCACATTAACCATGCTCATTTCACTATTATGGCACTGGAGACGGGAAGAATTGAATGCTTTCATATTCGGGTGGTGGGGGTTCCCCCCCCCTCCTTCCAGTGCAACTTCAGTGCATGAGACTTAATAGAATCCAATGTTTATTGTATTATAAATCATGGGGGAAGTAGGCAGACCCGCAACAGTTTATTATTAAAGATTCTTTCAATGTAAATCTTTTTCCGCCATTGTGTCTCCTACAGCAAAATCATTTTGTGGTTGAGTGGGGATGAAAGGCATAATGTACGAAGGAGTGAGTCTTAATAGGAAGCTGCTCCCTGACTGAAGGCCACTTGTTCCCTTTTGTCTGGAGGTGCATGCCACCGCTGCCTCTCCTCCAGCAGATATCACCCCGTCGGACCTCCCCCCGCAAAATCATTTTCCTCCCGATATTTCTGCAATTTAATACAGAGACAGTGTTTAAATGGAGACCTTAACTTTTTAACTGGAGCGTCATACAGTGTCGACAAACAGAATGTGTTTAAAGGAATTAAATGGTTTGGAGGAAAGGGGCGCACCCTTAGTTGTGTCTTAATTTCTAAACGGACGGCCGTTGGTGCGATGTGTGTGGCATTTTGTAGTTCTGTAGCAATATAGTCAACCAGTGGAGGTCAGTAGCATTCTAGTGTTACAGTTTTGGGCAAGATGTAGTTTCTTTCTTAGGGTTCTTCTTTTCTGGGGTGGGGGTGGGTTTGCTGCATTTCGGAATTATCGATGTGTGAAGCTAAACTGGAGAGCAAAAAGTTGGTCTATTTCACTGTATGTTCGCTGTCAGTTTTAAGCTTAAATTTTAGAAATAATCCATTAAGTTCATTTTTAAAATTTGCTCACTAGGCAGAAACTAATTCTTAAAATGTTTTATTTGCTGAAATGTTTCATTAGTGATCAGCGACCGTTCTTTTCTGTCAATGGCTTTTAATTGTAACGTGTTAAGTAATCTATATAATGAATGTGCTTCTGGTAAACTGCTGTGGCGCCTTCTTTGCAGAGAGCCAAAATGGCCATTGGGGGTCACTGTTTCTTTGCTAAATTACCACTGCTTTAATTTTTAGACTCTAGCAGAAGCCAGTTTAATTTACTTCTGATGTAAATTGCTTAATAAGCATTGTGGTGCCTTAGTTCATCTTTCATTTTAACAGCATGTTGGAGTTGCATAACAGATGTGACATACCACAAAACATAGGAATCAGTTTTTAAATTAGTATTTTTCTTTGTTACATGTGATCCCAAGCTATGGCCCTGTATTTGTTTAAAATATTTTATAAGGCTTTTTCAATAAGTTCACAAGGCCAGTTTACAAAAATAAAACCAGAACAAAGCCGCAGCTTAAAAAAATCAGCTAATAACAAATCAGCAAAAGTGTAGTAAAAGAGGTAACTGGCAAAGCAAATTGGAAAAGGAAGGGTTTTTAACCTACTTGAAAAATGGAAAAAATAGCTTAAAACCATTTTCTTTCTTTTCTTTTCTTACAATTTTTAATAGATACTTTAACCAAAATGGAAATTTACACAGCATTTACTCAAACATCTTTGACAATGGACAAAATAATTCAAACTTCAGTGGAACCAATATAACTACTTAACAACAACTGGAATATTGTTTATTAATCTTAAAACGATCTCATATGACATTATCATCATAATTATTTTAACTAACCATTGGGGGGGAAGAGAAGGGACATCTGTCGAGTCCTCAAAAATTTCTTTCTTTTTTTCCTTTTTTTCTTTTCTTTGGAGAGGCGAATGGGAAGGGGGCGGGGCCCAGGTGGGTGGGGCCTGGGGTGCTGGAGAGAGGGCGGGGCCGGTGCGGTTTGCGGGTGTGTCGGCGGTTGATTTTTTAAAAAGTAGCTCCTTCGTGTAGCTTAAAACCATTTCCCAGAGGAAGCGTTTCACAATTTGGGAGCCTCAACAGGAGAGATCCTGCTTCTTGTGGAGGTCAGTCTTGGTTCCATGTAAGATTGATGTGAAACAAGGCCTTAACAAGCAGCGGGGCTCAGCTGGGAGGAGCTTTCCCTGAGATGCTAAGGACCCCCAAGCTGTTTATTTTTATTTACACAGACAAAACAAATGCCAAAACCCAGGCATAACAAAATGAAACCATCTGATAACCTCATATGCAATATAAGAGATGATACCATCATGTTATAGTGATGTTCCAACCCCACCCCCCAAACCAAACCAAAACAAAGAAAATATATAAACCAATACAAGAAAAATCATGAACAGATAAAAAGGAAGGAGAAAATGGGAGTGGAGGGTGCTTCCATCCAAGTTGGCTGAGATTTTATATAATTTTCATTAATTCCATTTCTGAGAAGAGGATACTAATTATAACTATTCAATGCCTTAGTCAGATTTTCAGGTAAGGGTCTCCATTAATGAGCTATTGTCTGGGAATTCCATTAAATCCATTAGAAAACTATTCCAAATTTTCTTAAAATCATCTTTTTTCCCCCTCCCCTGAACTAATCTAATCTTAATCTAGTGTGCCACCTATCCAAGGAAATCCCTTCAGCATTCTTCTAACATTGAGCAATAAGCATCCTAGCGGCAACTAAAAGAAAGTTGATAAGTTTACATTGGGAATTTTCATTGATAAATAAGTCGAGCAGGGCTAGTTCAATAGTAAGGTTTTATTTGTTCCCAGGTTATTTTAGCAATCTCTGCAAATATTGATTTCCAAAAATATTTGCTATAAATGGACAAGACCCCCACATATGAATAAACCCCAGGTTGTTCAGGGCTTTAAAAGT